ATATTTTTTTTTTATTTGTATGCCATCTTGGCAATATTTTTTTTTATTTTTAAAATAAAGCAAGGTTCCGGGCACGACATATTCGAGATTACTAGCTCCATGTAGTGATTATAACATTCTTTTGGTTAACTAACCACCTTTGTCCCATAATTGACCCCCGATTACACATAATCATACTTTTTATTTCTGTAATAAAAACCGTAATATAACTAGCAAAATGTAGATTTATTTTTTGGCTATGGCTAAAAACTTGTACAAATTGATTATAAGTTTTTTCCCATTCTTTCATAAGATCATCAAGCCATGCAGTACTTAAACCGCTCTTTACCATACTGCGACGTAATAACTCTTCACCAACCAGCCTCTCCCGATCTGTTAAAAATTTGTGATATTTTCTGGTATCTTCATTCCTCTCTATTCCGCCTTGATAGAACCGTATATCTCTCTCTAAGTCAGCAGGAAAACACCCCATGGTCCATCTATTTTTCTCAGCTTCAGTAATAACCAAAAATTTCTTGGGATCTATTTTATGCTCGATGGCATATTGGCATAAGCCTGTCTCTGGCTGATAAAAGCGGATTTTGTTTGGTACATTTACTTGAATTTCTGGTATGCTCTGTATAGCGATTATAACTTTCTTTTGATCGATACGAAAAGGGCAATTAAGAAAATAATGATCATTTTTATTGAGACAGCTCCAGTCGCCCCATATACCTAAACAAGTATGTACTTCTTTACATATCGGACATTTAGCTTCCGGATCTGTATATTTAAAAACATCTCGGTACCATGCATTCGATTTAGTATATGACAAGAAAGGGAAGCGTTTATGTACTGCTTCATGGATTGTACTTTTCTCTTCCGGAAACTTGGAAATTTTGATGATACAGTCTCGTGAAAGATGATTGCCGGCCTCTTCGATTTGTTTAGATTCGGAAGTTTCAGAGTTTATCCAGGGATCAAGCCCAGTTTTATTCTTATATCTATTATAGAACCTAGAACGAGTTTTATCTAACAAAATGCTTGGTAATTCTGTTAATTTAGCCTTCCACTCTAAATATTCGGGAGTTAATATTTTACTGGTATTTGTTTGTGTATTCATGTTGCCGTTTTATATAGTTTCCATCACTTTAAATTAATAACGAAACTGGTGGCTATAACCAACAAAAAATAAATATACACTGTTCACAAGCTCATGTTCAGATTAATATAGTTAACTTTTTTTATTATATGTGTGAAATAAATTGGCGGGGCATAAGATAGCAGAGTTGAAGTAAAGCTTCTAAAGTTTATGCCATTATCTCAGTTTTAATTCCACGCTGTTCACATTTAATAAAATAGGTTCTATTTTTATATTTGCCTTCTATACCTTTATCCTCATAATGATCTGTCTTGCATAGCGGGCATAAAGATTCATCAGTAATTCCATAATAATCATTGTTTCCATCTCTGCCTTCCCAAAATAAATCAGGATATTGTTCTTCCAATTTATTACGGAAATAGGCACGGTTATGTATAGTATTTACCTTAGTTGAATCTTTCGAATTCGTTTCATTATCATATTTATCATTTTTATCGATATCATCTATATTTTCCTCATCCTCACTACCATCAGAGTTAGAATCTAAAAAGCCATCAAATACATTTACGATTTCTGAAAATTCGCCATTCTCATCTACTATATCTTCCAAATTAGAGGTTTAAGATGATGAAATAGAGGGAGTGGTTGTAATACTTATCTCAGTTTCTGGTAAAGTCCGTTCAGTCACATGCGCATTACAATTTGTAACGCCAATCATTTTTTGGCATTTAACCGAAGAGTCATCTATGCTAATAAATTTTTTAGGAAAACAAATTATAATATCTTGAATCTGATTGTCCGTTAAACTCGAGATTGCACTTGCACTACATGTTATTGCTTGGATTTTTTCTATTCCTATTCCCACAAGTAACGTATAAATCTTTTTTGCTCTGAATGTTCTCTGACGCAAGTTTACATCGGTGATATCCGGAAGAAGTGTTTTTATCTCATTATATACCAATGTTCTTGCTGATTGATTATCAATCTTATTTATACACTTAATATCTTTGATTCGATCCTTATATACTTTATAGTAACAATACCAACATAAAATTTCTTTTTGCCTAACTTTCATTGCTATAATAAATAAATCAGCTATATTTTGTGCTGTAATTTTGCTAGATCCTGTTATAATTACTTCTAGCGAGAATTCAGGAATTTGTATATCAAATGCTTTACTAACTTTATTATTATTCTCTTTAATGAACACAGATAAGTCGTGCCTTAAGTCTTGCTCAACTCTTTTATTATATGGAATTTTGATTCTGGTATTTTGTGCTTGATCAGTAGGCATTGA